CATGAAGTCCCTCCCCAAAACGGTCCAAAGTCGACGCATTGAATTGCGGGCCAAATAAAGCCGAAACTTCCAAGGCGTCTTTCCTGGCCTCGCCAACTGGATCCTCCACCTAGTGCGAAGGCTTCATGTTGCGCGGTTGCGCGCTTGCGGCCGGCCACGGGTCAGAAAAATGACCCAGGTGTTGGATACTTTGTTTGCTGTTTGCAGCCTTCACTTTACGCCGTGGCCCTGGCTTCAATGGTAGTTCTGCAGGTCTGTTGGCAAAAGATTACGATGATCTTTTCGAGCGCTGATTTTGCGGCTAGAAAACCGCACCATGCTGATAAACCTGCCTGCCAGCGCTTTAGACGTCCGGCAGCGGAGAAATCTGTCGTAGAAGTGCTTGCTGGTGCCATGTGCTCAGCAGAATCGTGATGCGGTGAGCGTGTTTCAAAGAGCACATCAAGGGCAGACATGTGGAAAAGAACCTTGTTCGGCCGGAAATACCGGCGGCCCCTTCGAAAATGTTGAGATGCCTAACATCCCCCTTTTCTGGTAGGAGCCCACGCCCAGGTGAAGAGCAGCGGATGCCGCGCGGGGATGCACATCAGGGGCCTCGGCCAAAAAAAGCGCGCAACGCGAACCCCAAAGCAGTCGCCTTAGGAAGCGGAACGCGGAACCTGAGGCTTTCGCATCCTACTCGAAGAACCTACAAAAAAAGTGTAAAGCACCCCGTATCTTCCGTACGCTTTTTGAAACCCAGGTTTCTCCTCTCAAAACCTGGTTATGTTTTGGAACCCACTTTTTTGCAGGATTTTGGAGTAGCAGGATCTGACGAATGCTACCTGAACCGCAAGGATTGTTGGGGGTTCCGCGTCTGATCAATGCCGAAGGAAGCGCCGCATGAAAACCTCCAGCCGACGCTTCCGTTTCGCGCGGCAAACCTTCGAAGGAAAAACCTCAAGCCGAGGCAGCGAGCGAGCCGGGGGTTTTCGTTCAGCCGCGAGCGGAACGGACATCAACCGCCACTTATTGAGGCAGTCATTGCGCCGTTCGCGGGTTCGGCGATGCGCTTCCTCGCTGGATAGCCCAGTGAGAAGGCACAGGTTTACAGTCCAAGAAGCAAAGGCGGGCCCCATGGTTTCCTTTCTGATGAACAAGGCCCCCACTCTTGGAATACCTCTAGCTATGCTCTTCCTTCTTTTTCGGAGGGTGTTCATCTGAAGCGAAAATCACATGGTGGCCTGTTGCGGGGCGCCATAGTCCCCCATGCCCTTGAGGCCATGTGCCCCTGCAAACTTTGGCAGAAGCCCGGGCATGAACACGGCGGGGCCCTCGCCTTCCGCGGGCCCGCAGCAGTTGCCGCAGGCGCCGGAGCACCCGGGGACGCAGCACCAGCAGCAGGGCGGCGGGCAGAAGGGGAAGCCGCCCCCGCAGGGCAGGCAGCAGCAGACCTGCGCCGGCGGCGGCAGCCCGTGCCAAATCATGTAGCCACCTGGCCCGTGGCCGATCTTCACGTTCATCGGATGAACCATTATGGGCTTGTGGACGTGCGCCGTCAGCTTCTTGCCCTCCAAGAACGCCACGGCCTGCTGGCCGCAGTGCTTGGCGGCCTCCGTGACTGTTCCAGACACTGGGTGCCCGGGCATCTTCTTGTTGGTGACGTTCACACCGAAAACTTCCGGGTGGACGGAGGACTGCAGGGAGTCGTTCACCACCAGGGCGCCTTTCTCATCCAGAAGGCCAGAGTTGGAGGAGCGCAGAAAGCTCGTGTAGAGCCCGGGAGAGTAGCATGGGATGTAGACGTCGAAGTCCAAGGTTTCACCGCTGTCAAGCTTCACGCTGCCGGTTTTGAGCACGGGCTCCTCAAACTCCTTGTCCGAGATCGTCCCTTGCTTCACCTCGATCTTGTACTTGTTGGTCAAGATGTCCGTGACCTTGGCCACCATCTTGGGGTCCGGCTTCTCGGCCTTGGCGCCGAAGTCGGAGTCCAGGACTCCGCCGGACCGCGACAGCAGGATCACCCTGGCGCCGTGCCCGACCCGGGCCCGGAAGTCCCCGCACATCTCGAGGCCCACCAAACCCGCGCCGTTGAAGACCACGGTCTTGGCGCCCCGCAGCGCGGCGCCGCAGGCCTTCACCTCCGAGATGCGCTCGGAGAGGCTCATGCCGGGGCTGGGGCGGATCAGCGGACTGCGCTGACCCGTGGCAACGATCAGCGCCTTGAAGGAGATGACTTGCCCGGCGTGGGGGCCCTTGTTCATCAGGGTGATCTCCTTCTTGTCGCAGTCGATGGTCTCCGCGGAGCTCAAGAAGTACTCGACTTGGCTGGACTTCATCTTCCACTTCGCCGGATCCCCGGAGGTCCACTTCTCGTGCTCCTCCGGGCTGTTCAGACAGATGGCCGCCGCGAAGCTCAGCTCGCAGAAGGTGAAGCCATGGACGTAGGCCACCGTGGCCGTCTTGCTCTTCTTCAAGATCCCCTCAACCGCATGGAAGGCACTCGACCCCGCGCCCACCACCGCCACGTCGAAGCTCTTTGCCATGAGAAGCACAGAAAAGCAGAGTCTATCCCTGCTGGAAGCTGGCAATGGCTGGATCCAACGGGTCTTGCTTCAAAACCCTTGATTGGCAGTTTGGGCTTGGTGGCTTGGATTTGATCCCCGGGTTCTTGTAGAGGGTAAATGGGAAGCTCTCCACCAACAAACCATCAATCCAGACCGCCAATCAGAGCTTCAGCTGATCTGGAATGGGCATGTGTGTGTGCTTTTCCTTTGGGCGATGGTGGGGGACAGTCCCAACCATAAAATGGAAGCTGAACGGAGTTGCCCCGATCTTCATGTCCTCTTGTGGAATCCCTAAAAGGGGAAGAGGTAGGTACAAGGGTGGGGCAGTTCAGAGTCTTCAGGCCGCGCCCAAAACTGGGCCTCCCTGCGCTGCCTTCGCGTGGCCCTCCGCCGTGTTCTCCTCCCCCGTCAGCGGGCACATCCGCGCCGTCCACTCCTTCGCCGTGCGGTAGATTTTCTCAAGACGGCGAATGCAAATCCCCCCCCCGGACAACAAACAAACACACACACACACACACACACACACACACACACACACACACACACACACACACACACACACACACACACGATTCCAGGACACATTGTGCAAGGAACAGTCTTGCGCGCCAACGAGGACGCTTGCGCACCGACAAGGAACAGCGAACACACTTGCGCGCCAACATGCGCCGACAGTGAGCACGCTTATGCTTGTGCACCAAGGAGAAACATGGGAAGATAAGTTTATCAAGCAGAACCGAGAGACAAATGCAGGCCCATACTGGGAGACAAGTAAATGCGCACGCAGGAGCATGCGGCCTGGCAATCTGGCAGAACCGAGAGACAAATGCAGGCCCATACTGGGAGACAAGTAAATGCGCACGCAGGAGCATGCGGCCTGGCAATCTGGCAGAACCGAGAGACAAATGCAGGCCCATACTGGAAGACAAGCAAATGCGTACCCTGGCGAGCATGCGGCCCGGCCATCTGGCAGCATGCGGCCTGTTCTTTTTAGAAGAGTAAGAACCCCAACAGTAAATTTGTTTGGGGGAAAAAACAAACACAAACCAAAACCGCTTCGGAAAGTGCTGCGTACCGAATACCGGAGAAAAACCAAATGGTTGGCTCGGTGGAGCTTTCTCCCAGCGAATCGGATCCCCACTGAAAGGCCGGCGCCTGGATGGCCAGCAAGTAGAACGGCCGCTGGTCCTGATCCCGACATGTGGGTATGGGTCAAATTCACTTACTAGGGTTCCATGTGGGGTGCCTATTTTGGACCCACAGTCATGTGGCTGTCGTCAAACATAGGGCCCATCAAAATGGGTTGCCCTAGCTGGCAAACGGAAAGGACGGAAACCTGCGGTTTGTCTGGTCCAACTTCGAAACAAAACCCACATGTTCCGCCGAGCTCAACCCATTTCCACCTATGATTGAAGCTGGGTTCTTTCTCGCACGGCTTCCGCCTCAACTCTCTCACACTCGACACACTCCTCTCGGATCATCCGCATGCCAGCTCGCGCACGCTTGCTGGATGCCTGTGGCTGCTACTCTCGGACTTGGCCCAAGCAACTGGGGTTGCTCAACAACTCAGCAAAACAAAAGTCCAAATGGAAGGTAAAAGGCAGCTCAAAGAAATGATGGAAAATAATGGAGGGGCCGGAAGATTCTTAGCAATGCAGCATCTCCCACGAGAGCAGAAGCACTGACTTTTTGAACATGCAATTGCTCAGTCTGTTTGCACAGGCTGTGCAGTTTGCGCCGTGCCACCTCTCCTGTGAGAATCTGCATGCCAACCTACAAGCGTGTAGCTTTCACTACGTTTCGTGTTTCTTCGCTTTCATCTTCATTCCATCCTTGCCCGCCAAACATGTTCTCCTCTGCTCGCCAGCGCACCTTAGTGGGCCCAGGGCTTGCGCGCGGCGGCAATGGAGGAGCGACGGGCCAGGATGCGTCTCGTCTCACAGAAGGTGGGAACCAACCCCCAAACGGCCGGCAACTTGCCTGCGCGGGACCGAAACCTCACGCGCCAGATTCGCGGCGAAGGTTTGGGCTTTGGGCCCGTGAGAAAACTGGATAGATCACTGTGCCTCGCGCCGCGTGCACCCCCCGGCAAGACGTTAGGGCTTCAAAGCCCGGGATGCCTGAAATCCGTTTCCTTCCTTGGCTCGGCTTTTCTTCTCGCAGCTCTTGGGTTCAACAGGGATCCGGATGCTTTATACACCTGAACATTGCAACTTGTAAATGGTGGTGTCCCTTTATTTTGGTTGCTGAAAAAGCCACATGAATCAAATGGCTGTGGCTCAAAAAACCGGTACCAAAATGGAACCCTGGTAAGTGGAAACATGGACCGGAATCTGCGTAACCCCTCCTGTTTAATTTTGAGCCACACCCAAATGGTTGCAAAATGAAGACGTTTTTAGGAGCCCTGCTCCAGATCCGGGAGATCGCCAGGCGCATCCTCCGCGAATTCGTGCGCTACTCCCTGGCCCGCAGGAGCTCCTGTTGCGTGAGCGCATCGATGCCCCCAGCCCAAGCTCTCAGAGGCTGACCCAACTGCGGACGAACGATGCCAATGAAAGGGGCGGGGTTGGAGGCCTATGGGCCAACATGGTAGTTTTCCGGTGGATGTCCCCTGCAACCTGAGACGAGTACTGGGATGTTCGTTGCCAAGTTCAGAGAGAGAGGACCCATGGTGGTCAGAGTTCAAACCAAACTTCACTAGCCCAGTCGCGAGATCCTGAACACATGTCTGACACGTCTCCTGCGAAAACAGGTGGCTGCTGTGTATACTCCATGAAACTCCGTGTTAAACCAAGGGGAGGGGGAGCGCCTTTGGATGGCCCCCCCATGCGGACGCCCGTGTCTGTCCTGCTTCAGGTGCTCCAAAAAAGGACGAGGCCCAAACCACACGGCAAAGATGGCCTCTCCGACAAAGAGTCCGCGAATCAGAGCCCGACTCTATCCGTCAAGGTTTTTCAGGGGCCTCGCATTTCCCAACAATCAACAGGAAGAAAGTCGCCCAATTGTCCCTCCAGCTCTTGCCAATCCTTTGTTGCCGCACTATGCTCTTTGCTTTCCCCTGTGCTTCGTCTCGTGGACGAGCCGAAGGCAACTCACATCGGCTTGAGTCACCTGTGGGCCTGGGCCTGGATAGTCCTTTTCGGTTGCCAAGCCAAGTGCATCGGAGCAAAAAACCAGCGGAAGCGATTCCGATGATCCCGGAACGGGAGTTTGAATAGGCTTTCTCTGGTGTGCAGTCCCGCTCCGAATGCTGAGAAGACCTCGATAAGAATAAAAATATATTCAAAAAAATGAGAGCCTCTCAAGGCTCAAGATGGCCAGCCAGCTTTGGACCAAGTCGCCCCCCAGTCCGAAACCACAGAAAGTCCGGGCGACACCAGAAATGCATGAAGCGACCGAACAAAGCAGCCAGAACTGCCTGACCAGGGGGTGGCTGCACGAAATGGAAACACCCGGTGAACCATGGTTCACAGTCATCTGCATCCCTGAGTTCAATTCAACAGGCAGTCCCCAGTATCGTGCACATGTGTTTGTGTCGACACATGCAGGCGCATTCTAATCTTTGCATCGTGCTTGATCAACAAGTCAATGAGCAGAACATGCAAACAATTCTTCCTAAGTGCGTTCATGTCTGACTTGCCCAAAGGACCAGAAATACCAGGCTAAAGTGGTTGCCAAACATAACGCAAAAGATGAGAAGTTTAGTGGACAACTGGGCCAAGCGTCTATGACAGCAAGGTGGAAACAGAGATCGGATGCTTTCCTTGAGGACCAATTAGGGTGTTGGTTGTTGGCAGAATAACTGAGATGCTGCGTCGCAAAAATAATGGTCAAAAAGCAGAGCTCGGACAAAAACTTGAGGGGTCGGTTCAAAACGAATGGGTTGAATGGGTGGGGGTGAAAAGGGGCCGGCAGGATCCACAAACAAATGACGGAGGGGTTCCCGGATTTTCAGCACTTGGGGTTTCAACCAGAAGCCCACGTCCACCATAGGCCACAGCTTCATTCTCCGCCTGAGGTGTTCCGCATCGCATCCATATGGCCATGGGTCAAAATCCAAAATTCCTTCCCCATGTGAACATCCGATTCAATCCAACCACTAAAAATAGCTTCTAAAATCGGTGGTGAGAATTCACCCAATCCAACCAAAATGGTTGATCCCAAAACGGGTTTTGACCCACAGCTCCTTGATTTTGATCTTGGCTCCAAATGGAACTTCGGCCAAAGGCAACTGCTTTTCCAGGGTCCTGGAAGACCAAGGCTTTTGACAACCACAGCCCAATCCCCGAGCCGTCGACCAACCCCACCCTCCGCAAACCCCCGAGCCCCCGAGCCCCCGAGCGCCTCGGCGAAGCGCTTGCCCGGCACGGAGCCCAGGTGGGCACCGTTCAGCCGCAGCGTCACGAGGCCTCGAGACGGGGCCCGTGGATTTTCTTGGATGTCCGGGAAACGCGGGAAGGATTCGGGACATCCAGGTTGAATGTCCTCATCCAAGGGGGAGTGATTCAGACATCAACTTGGGTGTCCGGAAATCCAGGTCCCTTTTTTCGGAAAATGTCCAAGTTGAAGACCCGGCCCAACTTCTAGTTTTAGCTGTGAAAGTGGGCCATGGCAACCATTTTCTTCATCCGAGCAAACCCCAAAGAGCAAACTGAGGGAATGCAACTGAGGCGTGCCGTCTGCTTTGTTGCTGATTCCACAAGTAGCATAGGCTGATGCCAGAAACCAGGAAGGATCAATGAGCTTTTTCGAACATCATGTATCCAGTGATTATATGGGTCTGTCTTCTTTGTGGACAAGGGAACCCTGTGGAAAATTCCCGCCCGGCGGGCCGAAGCTCAAGATAGTTCGATAAATTTGGGTGTTTGAATGAGGGGCCGGGGATTTATGTCCAGAAAAAAAACTTTTGAGTGGGTTCCTCATGAAAATTCATAGCCCTACTGGCGCCCAAATGTTCGTCACATGCATCGTGCCCAGGCGCCATCTCCCTGAGGGTCGTAGCCCAGCGTGTAGCAGTCCTGCGAGTTTTTTTGCAGCCCTTCGCCCCGGATTTCGGGATTCAAGGACTGGACGCCCCTCGCTCATCAAGTGTGGAACGGAGCACTGAAGCGCCCGAAAAATTCGGAGAGGCCAAATCATTTGCGCAGCGCGGGGTCTTGGAAAGCGCGCCTTGGGGTTTTCAGCAAACGGGGTTGCTCCGACATCGAAGCGTCGAGGCAGTCCCCAGCTGCCACGTCTTTGTACAAAGGGTTGAAGGACTCGACGCCGGCCTGCGCGGATTGGACGAATCTACCAGGGAAAAACACGCACATGTTGCTTGTCACTCCTTCCCAAATAAGCGACACGCCTCTTCTATTCCTTACTTGGATGGTCATAGGAAGGGCCAAGCCACCTCCCTTCAGCGAGTTGAATGCCATTGGAGCAGCCACGCTCAAACGCTCACGCGATCCGAAGATCCTGCTTGATTTTTGTTCTCTCTCTCTCTCTCCCTCTTTCTCCTTCTCTTTTGTCAGCCTAGCTGCGCCACCTCGACTTCGACTCCGCATCGTTGCAAACTCTGCACAAGCGCGCTCCGCTGCGCTGTGTCCTTCCACCCAACACTGGGAAGCACGACCCGCTGAAGATTGGCCATGCTTTGCAGCGCCGTCCTCAACGAGTCGCACTCCGCCACTTCAGATCCAGCCATGCCAGTGAGCCGCAAGGTCGCAAACAAGGACGAGAGCCGCGGCTGCGACAAGAAACGGGCGATCACTTCGGTAGCCCAGGAGTTGGACCGCTGCAAGGGCCTGCCCCTGGCGGAAACTTTGCCGCCACCCAGGCTCAGCGGGCACGGCACAGTGAAGTCCCGGCACCGGTTACGCAGAGCCTCCTCGGCCGCGATCAAGGCAGAGCGGCAAACGGCCCGGAAGCGCGCCAGGCTGATCAAGGGCAAGGACAAAGCCACCTCCAGCCCTTGCCCAGGCGAGAGGAACTTCGTGACTGGGAGCGCCACCCGACGCCTCTTGGCGGGGGGTCCCCCGGGTGAGTTCTCACAGCGAGGCGGCGGCAAGGCCCGCAGCGGATGTGCCGGCGCCAGCAGCTTTCCCAGCCGGCGACTTCGCTCCGGCCAACTCACTTCCCGAAGCACGGCGGCTCCCCGGTCCGCCCCCGCCTCGTCCAGCCCCAGCATGTCGGTCAGCAGGATGCGCTTCTCGGTCGCGCGCAGCTGCTGAGTTAGGAACTCGTTCTCCAAAACCCGCTGCTCCATCTGCAAGGCTCTGGAGTCAATCTGCTCCGAGATGATGCGCCGCAAAGATTCGCAGCGCCGCTTGGTGTGGCGCTTGTCCTCCTCCACAGCATGCTCCGCCGCCCTCCGCCAGCGCCCCATCTGCCGCGCCGCCAAGTCTTTGAAGGCGTCGTTTTGGGAAATCGCCAAGCTCAGGTTGGCCGTGAAGGGCGTGTGTCTGAAGCGAAAGTGCAGAAACATGTCGGGCTGCGTCATGTAGGTCTCGCGCAGCTCCTCCAGAAGCAGAGGAGCGCCCCCGTACCTCTTCGCGCGGTTCTGCGCGCGGCTGCGCAAGTCGGTGAGGGCGGCCCGCCACGCCAACGCCTGCTCCAAGCGCGCCGTCTTGCGCGTTTTCACGCACAAACCCCTCCAACTCACGTGCGCCTCATATAGCCCGCCCTGGGTGTAGAGGCAGGGGTCCAGCGTTTTGGCAGCAGCTCTTCCTTTCGTTTCGCCCTCTCTCTCTTCCTCGCTGCAGAGGCCCCGCAAAGCCAGCAGCACCGGGGTGGGCAGGTCCTCCTCCAGCGCCAGCCCCTGCAAGAAGTCCTTCCATTTGGTCAAGACTCAGGAAAAAATAAATTACACCAGCCTCGACCCCAAACAGCAAAAAAGCGTGACAGGTCTGCATAACAAAAAAAGCTGGTCTCCTTCATGTAAGGTGCGAAATTGAGTAGCTTATGTGAGCAACACATAGTTACAATCAGCCCATGTATGTGTTTGTAGGAGTCCCCTTTTTTGGGAAGAGGACACATCGGGTCCATCCATCTCCTTGACGCCGGGCAAAAGCATCGATGTCATCGACTTCGAGGGGGAAAATGCCATGTCAATGCCATGTTCGAGAGTGAAGGCCCCGTACATTCGGTGAATCAACCTAACACCTGGCATTAATCAAAGGAAGTTTCGAAGAAACTTTCGTAGTACAGACACTCAATGCACTTTTTTTCCATCACCGCAGCATTTGGTGGCCGTCCTGCTACTCTGCTGAAACTTGCGTATCAGTCTCAGCAGCTTGCGGCCGAGACTGGACACATGCCACTTCTGGTTGCTATGTTCTTCTCGAGCTCGCTAAAGGTCTTGCCACAAGCAAAACAGAGCACTTGCATAAACTTGCCGACTGCGCCTTGATCCTCGCCTAGCAACGCAGGGACACGCTAGCACCAAATTGGCAAGCGTCAGCAAAGGTGCCCGTTTGGCGCGCACCTCTGTCACCCGGCACAGCTCCAGAAATTTTCAGTGTTTGAGCCGGCAGTAGCTTGGTCATCCAGGGCCTTCGTCTCTGTCGTGTCCAGCACGCCGCATGCTCCCATGGCTGGGCCGCTCCATTCTGGAGCAAGCTTGACTTTGAACGTCAGCTCCAACCCTGCTCCATCTCGGAAACGTGTGAAAACTTTGCCCCAACTTACCAATGCTGGCTGCACAGTGGACACCACCAGCTTGGCCGGTTCATCTTGGAGTTTGTGCTTATGGTTCGCAGATTGGTGTTCACATGTGTGGTGAACGACCGGCGGCCGTCATTCCAACGCACTCAGCTCCAGCAGCACTGTAGTCAACTGGCCGGGTTCGTGAACTGTATCCAAGTTGTCAAGGTCAAGGTCAGCGAAGTAGGTTGCCAGGAAAAGGCTCCTATGCATCAACCAAGATTTTCGAGGAGAACTCGACAAGTGCAGGGACGATGCGAACAACTCTTACGAGCTAATGGTTTGGCTGGGGACCCGACTCACCCAGGCTTTAGGACAACAACCGGTCAGAAAAAACCTTGGAGCTCGGACCCCCCTAACGATGCAACAAGATGATAAGTACGCCTGCTTGACTGTGTGTTCGCTCGTCCCTCTCTGCGATAGGACCAGATCTCCAAGAGCAAGTAACCAGGAAGCCCCTCTGCGATTGGCGAAACGGCTCTTGTTGATGGGACCCCAAAAAAACCATCAAACACAGCGGCGGCGTTAGCAACTCTTATTAGATTATACAGCCACCGAACATGTGTCGAAACATGGCCATGACCGTGTGTCCTTGTTGCAATCACCACATTGAGCGCCAGAGTAATGTTGCGCGAGTGTCCAGCAGCACCGAAACCTTTTGCTTGAACGGGTCGGAATCGACGTTCAAGGCGTAGTGAAGGCGAAGCTGTGTCGTCAAAGAAGAAATGGATGGGCCATGTCTGTAGCACGTGTTGCTTCGGTGAGCATCCCTCCAGCTTGGTTTCCCGACAAGCCACGTATGCTGCGAGCAAGTACATCAAAATCTCGCCCGGAGCTGCCAAATTCAAGTCGAGATCTCGGAAAAGAACGTTGGTTGCAAGAATGAAATGGAATTGCTCGGATTTCCAAAAATACTCACTGCGGGAGGCTAGCACAAGCGCCATGCAATACAGCTCGCGTTGAAGCTCTTTGTTCTTCCATGCGTTTATAGACTGTAGGAAGCTAGTGCCTTACGACGTCCCCTTGAGCCCTCGCACGTGCAAGCCCTGGGCACTTTCGGACACGTGCAAAACAGCAGCGTCCATATTGCAGAATATGTGGAAATCAAGGCCGAGAAATCTGTCTTCAACCCTTCTGTCAGGAGGCAACGAGATATGTCAAAGCTGCGACCTTGGCATCACGAAGGTGTGAAATTATTCAGCAACATGCGTTTGTCAATGGGACTGGATTACCTCGGTTGCAATGAGGAAAAAGAGGACCAGCTAGCGAAGTAAAAGACTGGATATGATTTTGGCCGGGCCACATGGCTATCCAACTGAGAAGGTGCTAACTACTGGCAACAAGATAGGAGGCAAGGTTTTCAACAGCACTGTCAACAAGAAAGGGTGCTTGAACCACAGTGATGCTACCAAGAGGAGACTTGAAGATGGGTGGCCCGAAAGCATGCGCAGCGCACGGAGCCAAGTAATCCTAGCTAGTTACGGCCACTTACTTGGCTGGGCTCTGATGCGCCACAAGGATTCAAACCAGTCAGTTAAGGCCACTTGGCGGGGCTGGGCCACTTGGCTGGGCTCTGCTGATGCGCCACAAGGATGCAAACCAGTCAGTTAAGGATGCACACTTGGCTGGGCTCTGCTCATACGCCACAAGGATGCAAACCAGTCAGTTACGGCAACTTGGCTGACCTCTGCTGATGTGCCACAAGAATGCAAACCAATCAGTTAAGGCCACTTGGCTGGGCCCTGCTGATGCGCCACAAGGATGCAAACCAGTCAGTTACGGCCACTTGGCTGGGCTCTGCTGATGCGCCACAAGGATGCAAACCAGCCAGTTACGGCCACTTGGCTGGGCTCTGCTGATGCGCCACAAGAATGCAAACCAGTCAGTTGCCACAAGGATGCAAACCAGTCAGTTACGGCCACTTGGCTGGGATCTGCTATGCGCCAGAAGAATGCAAACCTGCACTTGCCCAAGAAGCGCGGCACTGGCTTCCAAAAAGCAGCTCAGTATCCTGAGCAAAGCAATCAGCGGATGTCCCAGCACAATTGTTTAGCAAGAAAACAGACACATTTAAGGCTCGATAGGGCTCAGGATGCAAACCTGCAAGAAGTGCGGCACTGGCTTCCAAAAAGCAGCTCAGAATCCTGAGCAAGCAATCGGATGTCGCGGTATTTGACATATTTAAGGCTCGGCAAGGCTCTGCTGATGCGCCAGAAGGATGCAAACCTGCACTTGACCAAGAAGTGCGGCACTGGCTTCCAAAAAGCAGCTCAGAATCCTGAGCAAAGCAATCAGGCGGATGTCGCGGTATATTTGCTTACCGGGAAAAATGGACACATTTAAGGCTCGACAGGGCTCTGCTGATGTGCGGCGTCAGGTGCCTCCTCTGCAGCTTGCTCCTTGTTCTCTTCCTCGCGCTCACCCTTGGCAAGCGCTTTGGCCTTGGGCTGCTGCGCCTTGCTCTTCGGCGGTCCGGCTTCACGTTGGACTCCTTCGCCTTGGGCTCCTTCAGTTTAGGGAACTCCTGTTGGGCTGTTGACCAAGAAGTGCGGCACTGGCTTCTAAAAAGCAGCTCAGAATCCTGAGC